CTCCCAGATATTGGTCTTGGTCTAAGACCAAGCCAGATCATCAGAGAAATACATGCCTAAGCTAAATCCTATTGTTCCTCCTACAGAAGACTCATTATCAAATTACATTATAGTGCGAGACCAGCAAACCATATTGATGGGACTCACAGAAACAAGCTTTATAAATCTTATTATTTGCATTATACAGAGGCTGCCAAGGACATTTTTTCATTACCTCTACAATGAGCTCTTTATAAGAACCTCCAGGAGAAATCCCAGCCAGGATTTAGGACTAAAAATGGTAGTACTTGTCATGAGTATTAGAAGCCGGAGGCAAATATAGATTTACTGCTTAGAGTCAATGGAACAGGCCAAGAATGCATTCCTGCATTCATTCAAAAATATTTATTGAGTACCTACTATGTGCCAGACTCTCCATTAGGATCTAGAATTGCAATGACAAACAAGACAAGAAATATCTCTACCTTCACAGACCTAGAGATTAGTGGGAAGGCATAGGTGATTACACAAACAATTATAATACAAAGCAATGATATAGTTTTTTTATGATGTGTTTCTTTGTTTTCTCCTTATTTATTATTTGTGTCTCTGTTCTGCTTTTTTGTTTAGTGGTTACCCTGAGGTTTGTATTCAGAATCTCGTGTATAAGATAGTCCATTTTCTGATGGCCTCTTATTTCCTTAGTCTAAACCAATTCAGTCCCTTTCCTCCTCCCCTCCTAAATTGTATTTCTCACATCTTATTCCAACTTGTGTTGTGAGTTTGTGGTTAAAATGACAGGATTATCTTTGTTTTTGGTGTTTTCTTTCCCTTTAGCTTAACGCTATACTTGAGTATTTGCTATCCTATTCTGATTCTCCTTTCTCCCCCTTTTTTTTTTCAGGTATGAGGGCCTTCTTGAGGATTTCTTGTAGGGGGGTGGTGGTCTTGTGGCTACAAACTCCCTTAGCTTCTGTTTGTCTGGGAAAGTTTTTATTTCTCCCTCATATCTGAAGGATATTCTTGCTGGTTAGAGTATTCTTGGCTAAAAATTTTTGTTTTTTAAAGATTTGAATATGTCATTCCATTCTCTCCTAGCTTGTAAGGTTTCCGCAGAGAAATCCCCTGAAAGCCGGATAGGCGTTCCTTTGTAAGTTATTTTCTTCTGCCTTGCTGCCCTTAGTATTCTTTCTTTGTCATTCATTTTTGCCAGTTTTACTACTATATGCCTTGCAGGAGGTCTTTTTACACTGACATATCTAGGATATCTGGAAGCTTCTTCCACACAGATTTCCCTCTCTTTCCCTAGGTTTGGGAAAGTTCTCTGCTATTATTTCTTTGAACATGCTTTCTGCTCCATTCTCCTTCTCTTCTCCTTCTTGAATACCTATAATTCTTATTTTGCATTTCCTAATTGAGTTGGATATTTCTTGGAGACTTTCTTCTTTTCTTTTTAGTCTTAGTTCTCTCTCCTCCTCTGTCTGGAGCATTTCAACATGTCTATCTTCCATTATGCTAATATGTTCCTCTATGATGTCCACTTGAATGTTCAGAGAATCCATGTTTTGTTTTATCTCTTCCATTGTGTCTTTCATCTCTAATATTTCTGACTGATTCTTCTTTATAGTTTCAATCTCTTTTGTGAAGCAGCTCCTGAACTCATTGAATTGTTTCTCTACATTTTCTTTTACCTCGTTGAGTTTTTTGATGATAGCTATTTTGAATTCATTGTCATTTAGATTACATATTTCTGTGTCCTCAGGACTTAATTCTGGGTACTTGTCATTTTCTCTCTGGTCTGGAGATTTGATATAGTGTTTGATATGGCTAGAGGAGGTGGGTCAGATCTTATGCATCCTGATATTATTTGGTTGCAGTTACCACCTATCACCACTGGGTGGGGGTCAAAAGCCATGTATTCTGAGCCCTCTGCCTTCAGCCGAGATCCCCAGCAGTGAAGTAGGCACGAGGAGGGTGGGGGAGGGGTACTTTCTCCTGTGTGCTCTCCAGGCTTTCTCACTCTGCTCTCAATATCTGGTCTCCTGGGGTGTTGGCTTGATGAGGTCACTCCCTGCAAAAGCTCTCCTCCCTGTAGAGGTCTTTCCTCTAGGCTGCATGGCCCTCTGGGGTCCTTGATGTTCCCACGAATGAACATCCCCTGCCCCTCATGGAGCCTCCCACGGTCACGGATTGCAGTCTTTAGGGGAGGGAGCAAAGTTCTCTGTTACCCTGTTCTAGCTCCTCCGATGGGGGCTCCATCCTCTCCACCCTCCATCATACGGCTGCATGTCTCTGACACCTTTGTGTTGTGTTAGGCTGTCCTCTGTTGGAGTATGGATGCCCCTTTTGGTTGCATGTTGGAGGGGAGAGAGTCCCAGGCAAGTTCACTCCGCCATGATGCTGACATCACTCAGTGAGCAATGAAATAGAATGAGCCAGAAATACGTGCTGGGTAACTAGATAATATCTATCACCTCCTTAAGTGGACAAGGAGGCTCAAATAAAGGTAAGCTTGGGCCAAGAGAAGAATAGAGGTCCCTAGAAAGAAAATACACACTTCTGTGGGAGTCGGGGTAAGAAAGACACAGGTCAGGAAAAGACTAGAAATAGGTGGATGGAGAGAGATACTGAGAACCTAAGACTGTCTATATATTTCCTACCATGACCAGAACTGATCTGTTTATGTACTTTACATCAATATAATAGTGTACGTGAGTAGAATTATATTGTGTAGAGTGCTCATAACTATATTTAAATCTCTTTATAGGCTCCTGAGGAAATTGGCCTGATTTTATGACTCTCAATAACTAAATCAGAGAAGGATCAAAGAATGATCTGGTATTGCTTGAGATATAATCTTAGGTATTTAATTCATCACATTAAGAGACATACTAATACAGTCTTAATGGTTTCTTTCCATCACCACTTACTTCTGAAAGTATTGAGGAACGCCAGGCTATACTGGGATTATAGACCCTCCTTCAAATTGAATGCAACTGCCCTCTTTATTCCCAAAGACGCAGGATATAAACAGCACAGAATTAAATATCTAAGAGGAATCGTGGTATCAAAAAGCTTAACAGTCAGGACACCTGGATTTTAGTTCTACTCCTATCACATAAAGAAATGATATGTGAGGCTCGGAGGCTATGTGAGTGACTCAGTGAACTTAGTACTGAGATTGTACCATTTCCAGTTCATGTAGCTGATAAATTCAAACCTAGGCAGTCTAGCTCCAGAGCCCAGGCTACCCACTACTTTATTCTCCCAACTTCCATCCAGGAGCATCCCAGGGAAGCTCAGAGGTCTATCATAGTACCATGCCTCAGGATAGATTCAAAAGTTCACCTTCTCTTCTCAGGGGCCTTTATGACATGAAAATGAAGGGCAATACAGCATGACAAGGATGACCCTACACCCTGCTGTGCCCAGGACAGCCTCAGTGTATGCCTGTTGTCTCAATGCCCAACAATATCTTCTTTCATTCCAGGTGTTCCAGTTTGGATAATAAGTAATACAGTCACCGAAGCCCAGTGGTTGAGAGATTATGGTCTAAAGTTTGCTGGGCCTAGGTTCGAAACCCAGTTGAGCCATTAATGGTCGCTGTGGGAGTAGAGGCCAACTACTTTGCCTAACTCAGCCTCAATTTTCTCATCTACTGAATGGAAATAATAACAGTACCTCCCTCATAGCATTGTTTCGAGAACCATAGGAGTCAATGCGTGTTTGAACTATATGGATCAATTAATACAGTGCTTAGCAAATAGTGAGCACCCAATAAAAATTAGCTGTCACCAACATTCGATTAAATATTGGAGAGGCTCTCTCACATCAGCATAATCACAGTGCACTATTTTGTGACCTTGAGACATCAAAACACACCTGTGAATCTGAAGCACTTAGACATGAACCAGGATAAGTAAGGAACGCCAAATCTTCTAAGCAAATCACAGGTACTGCAAGAAGAACCCATTCTAAGACTAAATTACAATCCTAAAGCCATTGGACATGCCCTTTAGTTCTCAGACACTCCCAGGACTTTTGATTTATTCCAGTCCAGACTCCGTGAGACTCTCACTAAAATGCTAAGTTTTATGGTGACAGGAAATACAGGAATATCCCTTGAGTTTATAATCTCTCTGGAGCCCTTTTTAGCCTGTTGGGCCAGCCTAAATTCATAGTGGCAACTTCTGGGATCATTCTGCTTTCAAACACAAGCTACCAACCCACCCAGTTTGTACTCAAACCTTGGAATAGCCTCAAGATTCAGAGAATATCCTTTATATGGCATGAGTTTGGCCACAGACCAGCCCCTTTGCCTGCAATGGAAGTGACTGGCTACATACCCTAGAACCTGCAAAATGTTTGTCACCTGAGAGAATCTTGGAAATTAGGCTCAATAAACCATAGTCATGGGCTTAAAGAAACCGTACAGCTAGTTAGCTTATATACTGAAGAAATCACCTATTTTTGCCTCATTTTCTTTGTAAAATAAAGGGATTAAATCCATTGTGAAAAATTAAGGGGTTGAATCTAACATGGTCTGGCTCTGGGCATCTTAAAAACATTCCATCTGCTGAGGAAAGATAACCCAAGTCCCCCTTTCCTTTAAAAACTTCTAAGGAATGAAATTCTACTTACTTCCGTAGTAACCTGTCTACTAATACGCCTGACTGTCAGCACTGCCTCCACCCTGGCTTGCCCTCCTCATCATGCAAATTGCCATCGGCTTTAATTAGATTTAATAAGCCACTGGGAAGTGCAGTGAGGGAAATGGAGAGCAAAGATTACACAGTGTGGGCTTACTCTTGCATGTCGAGAACAGCATTTCCCTGGAACGCTCCTATCCTCCCAAACTGAGAAAATAAAGAATGCCAAGCGTATGGAAAGACACGCTGCTGCTGCTGTCCAAATGGGAAACGTGGGTGGAGAAAATCACTCAGAAAAAGAGAGTGAGGGAAAAGGGAAAATCAACCCGAATCCCCAACAGCTGCAAATAACGAAGCATGTGAAGCTGTTACCTTGGATGAACTCTGATTTCCTGCTCACAGAAGGCAGGGTCCTGTTGAGTCCCAGGATCCTGTCCAGGTGGAAGGCAAACACCTCACTCATGTCCAAAGGCTGCTTGAGCAGCCCACAGGGGAGAGGGCCGCAGCCGGGCTCGGCGCCAGCAGCGGTCCCCTCCAGCACCAGCAAGCGCGCTCGGCTCTTAGAGAACACTGGCTGGACGCTTGCCACTGCACCATCGGCCAGCAAACGCATTCTGCGGATGTCTTCTTTGCTCAGCCACGAGGGGGCGCTCTCGCTGTAGATTCTGATGTTGCTCTCCCTGGTCTTGGGCAGCTGGAAATCTGAGCGCCCACCTCGTACTCCAGGACCTCGTATCAACCTCCAGGGTCGTTCCCCAACCTTGGCCAAGTTTCCTCCCTGGACATACCCAGGCACTTCAGCATCAGCAGCCCTTGCAGCTTCCCGCTGCTGGATGGATGGTCCAACCAAAGCCTCCTGTCCAGGGTCCAGAGATGCCACTGCATACTTCTTCCTGCGCTTGGGTTTCACTGTGCCACGGATATTGGCGGGCTTGCTGCGCTTGGAACGTAGGGTAATGTACACCACATTGGGCTGCAGAGTGGTTCCGTTGCCCTGGGACTCAGGAGGGGCCAGAGTACCATCCAAGGGTATCTCGGGAAAGGATGCCTCGGCGGTGTCGCGGCTCTGGCGCGGCCCCTTTTCTGCTGCCCGTCTGTGCTGGAGAGAGGCGCGCCCCACCTGGCTTACCAGGAAGCCCAGGTAGATGGCACAGGCAGTGCCCAGCAGGAGGTTCCTCCGGGTCCTCGGGCGCCGGCTGCTCCAGAGTTTACACACCCGTGGGACGCACAGGGAGCAAATGAACCAGTTTATGAGTTGCCCTGGCTTGTCTGGACAGGTCATTTCTCTGCCTCATCCACATGTTGAACAGAGTTTAAAGTCTGCAGTGGGCTCCTGCTGACATGATGCATGATTTCCCGAATTCAGCTGTCACCTCCACTTAAGTGTCTAAGTGGTCTCCAGTGGGTAGAGGTGGAAGTAAAGGGCCGGTGGTGGAGCTGGGAAAGTTTCTGACGCGCGGCAACAAACCTTTTAAACTCCTATCAGCCTCCCCGAGGAGAAGTGGGGCTTGTTTCTGGAAATGAATGGAAACACAGTTAACTGAGTCACAATCTAAGACGAATTCAGTTCCTCTGCAAGAGGAAAGAAAAGAAGTAACTCTTTCCTTTCATAAACACCACCACTAAGTGAAGCTTAAAACACAGAAACAAGATAAATGTATAGATTTGATATTCAGTGCAGAGTAGTGAAAACAAGACACAAAAAGCCCAAGAATATTTTATAACTTGTAGCTAGAGTCATTTAATTTGATTCTGAAGGAAAAACGTTAAAATTTGACAAACCCAGGCTTTTCCTTTTTGAAATTCAGAAATAAGACGAGTAATAGATGTGTTTAAAAATCTATAGCTATCTCATATTTATTTTTAAAAGTCTTGCATAAAGCAATTGGGCAGAAGCACCAAGTTTTAACTTTCAAATTCAGAAACATATTCGTTCAATCCAACGGTACAACTTTTTCTGCATAATCCATTCCATTATCTTACACTGGGTTATTATAATATAAAGCCATAAACGCCCGTATCTATTTGGAAGCAGTTACATTTATTCAGTGACACATGCACACACATACACGCACAAACACAAAACACAGATCCGACTGCTTTTTATTCCTTTTCTTTCCACCAAAGTCAGCTGAAAGAAAATAAAAGGCTCTGTAGCTCTATTTTCACATTATTTAAGAGAAGAGAGGAAGAACTCACAGCAACCTTACTTACACAGCTGGCCCCGTGCTTGGCTCCGGGAAGAATGTAATCCCTGATTCCAATGCAAAGAACTTTTAAAGTCTGAGGCATGTAAGTAGGACATATTTCATGGTCAAGAGGGTTCCACATTTCAAATATTTCAGCTCAGCTTTAAAAGCTCCCTTGAAAACTACTGATTGCAAAGCAAAATGCTTACTTGGAAGCTGGCTGCGGATAACCCAGTTTTAAGACGGTAAGGGTTTTTTAAATAGTTTAAAAAATAAACTTTAACTTGAAATTCTGAAAAAACAAATGCCGTACAGAAGCAGTTTTCATTCAAATAATTTCCTACTGATTTTTAACCCCTGGGAGCCCTCTAGTGTCCTGTTTGGAAATAGACTCAGAAATCTCAGTCTCATGAAGTTAAAAAGGACTGAGAGCGTTTGCTTAGCAGCCGCCGAATAAATACCTAATAAAATGAGGAAACCGATCCCCCCGCGGGCCATCCCACGGACCTGGGGCTTAGAGCCCTAGGCTTTCCAGGGACTACGACTCACCTTACCTTCTGGACCGTTCACAAAGTGGCATTTGTCTCCCACCACTTCTAAGAAGAAAAGGCCTAGAAGTTCATAAAAAGGTAAGAAAGGGTTAATGCAAATGAGGAAAAAAATAGAACAGGGAGATAAGAGCGCACATCCATAGAGAAAGACATTTATAGTATGCCGTCGCACGGTGCAACAGTTCACAAAAAGAAGTCGTGGACTCTCTCTGATTGGAGGTTTTTTTAAAAACAGGTTAGTAATTGGTTTAGGTAGTTTGCATGTCCTGGCACAGAGGCAGGGGTTGATGACCTCCCCATCTCGCTCAGGCTAATTCTTTCTGCTTCTACGGCAAATAGGATCAGAAGGCAGGAAGGGGACAGGGGCTGTCTTCCCCACTGGAAAAGAAGTTTATGATTGTGCGGTCAGAGATTACAGTATGATGTCTAATCCTAGTAATACTACATTTTATAATGCAGAAAAGGTCAAAGTATGGGAATATATATAGAAGGAAAGAATGAACTTCCAGGTGATAAATGCCGAAAATTATAATAGCACTGCTACTTTAGCCTCTTAAACTCAGACCTCTCTTCCTCTTTACAATTCTGCTACATGCGGGAAGGGGAAGGAACAATTCTAATATTGACAGTGGCCTACAAGTACCTGCAGGTTTTAGCTAAACTTCGTGAGAATTCACGCATCAAAGCAACTTTCTTTGTGCTCCCAAACTCTGAAAGCACACTGCCAGAAGCACAGAATTATTTTCTAGATAGGAAATGTTAACTTCTTGAAAGGGAACCATGACAGAGCCGTTTTATTACAACTATCATATTATTTTTACATATTGAGAAGAATAACTGACCTGACTCTTTAAAAATTGAAAGTAAATCTTTGGCAGAGGTCCAGTTATAATAAGCAGAAGGCTCTGCTGGCTGTTTCTAAAGGAACTTTGTAGTGGAGACGTGCTTAGGGAGGAGATAAGAGTTGGGTGAGTTAGTAAATTTGGTTGACTGCCTCTTTTCCCCCAGCAAAAAATGTCTCTTTAGGAAAAGACCAACACATTGCCTCTTCTTCTTTTTTTTTTTTTTTTTAAAGATTTTATTTTTCCTTTTTCTCCCCAAAACCCCCCAGGACATAGTTGTGTATTTTTAGTGATGAGTCCTTCTAGTTGAGAATGTGGGATGCCGCCTCAGCATGGCTTGATGAGCAGTACCATGGCCGTGCCCAGGATTCAAACCGGCGAAACCCTGGGCTGCCTAAGCAGAGTGGGCGAACTTAACCACTCGTCCACAGGGCTGGCCCCACATTGCCTCTTCTTATAGCCACCAGAAGGATTAGTGGAAGCTAAAGAGTGTGATATTTAGAAATGGGTTCCAGAGGGAGAAAGCCTAGCTTTGAGTTGTCCTCCTTCACTTCTTAACTGTGGTCCCTCGTGGCGGGTAACCTTACCTCTCGAGCCTCAGCTTCCATATCTTAGAGGAGAACAACAATAGCTCTTACTTCCCTGGTTTCTTGTGATGATTAAATGAGATAGTGGTGACAGAATGATACTTTGAAACACTAGGCAATGGGTTTTTATCCTCCCAACATCTTATTGAACTCCTCAATGGCCCTTCTCCCGGCCCAGGCAGTTTGACAGGGAGTCACCATTGCACCAAGGGGATGCTGTCATGGTGGATTAGAAACAAGCTCATTGAATTATTAGTGTAGCCAATATATTGACATAACCAATAGAGTGGACAAACAACACTCATCAGATGTAATCAGAACACAATTTTAATCATTCTCTCCACTGCCTCTTCAAACCTGCCCTGGAACCTAGTCGTTCTTATCAACTCCTTTGGATAAAAACTCAGACATGAGGGGCTGGCCCCATGGCCGAGTGGTTAAGTTCGTGCGCTCCGCTGCAGGCGGCCCAGAGTTTCGTTGGTTCGAATCCTGGGCGCAGACATGGCACTGCTCATCAAGACACACTGAGGCAGCGTCCCACATGCCACAACTAGAAGGACCCACAACAAAGAATATACAACTATGTACCTGGGGCCTTTGGGGAGAAAAAGGAAAAAAATAAAATCTTAAAAAAAAAAAACTCAGACATGACATTTGCTAGTTACACTTAGGCTTTTTAAAATGTCTCCAGTCATTTTAATCAAACATACACGCATACGTAAACTAATCAAAGTGTTTGATTCTGTATAATAGTCCGAATTTTCACATTCCTTTTAAATTTAAAGCATTTCCTTTCTCTAGAAGTTAACTGTCCCTCAAAAATCATAGCCAAACCTACCGAAAAGGGGGAGGGGAGACCTATGTGGGATTGTTTTTTCCTGTCTAGACCTTCTCTTCCTCATTCATCCACCCACTCGCCCCTCTTTGAGTCTGGCTCTGTCTGTCCCAGAGTTGAAGGGTCATGGGGAGGGCTAAGTAGTAACAATAGATATGTTCTTGCTACTCCATTGATCTTTTCGTCAGTTGACTTACAAACTCTCTGGGCTTAGCAGGTATATAAAGCTGATGCTCTGGCGGGCATTTTGCAATTGCTTCAAAGACACCACTATTATTGTCTCTCTGGCTGATTGTTGATGTCTCCTCAGCCCCTGGGAATCTGGCCGCCCGCTGTTCTGTTGAGGTCGTTTGCTTCTTCAGGCTGTTCTCTTGGGCAGCATTTAAGATGACCAGCAGGCTGCCTTTCTCGCTTGGGCCTGTATGCATCGCCACAAGGGGCCCAATAGACAGTCACCCTCCTTTGCCCCAGCAACCTCAGGCTTCGCAGTGCAGCAACCTACTTCTCTTGGCATGGGGGACCCTCATTTTTAGAACAGGGAAGCGGTTGCCGTCTGCTGCTCATGGTCATTATTGAAACTGAACAGAAAAGTGTTTTCTACCGTGAGGTATCTTGGGGCTCAAGAGAGAAGTTTAATTTAGCTTTAGAAAAATAAAGGTAAATTTCTTGATTGAGCAATGGTTTGAAAGTGTGTTGCCACGATATACCATTGACGTATAACATGTGAGGGCACATAGAACACTCAAAACATTTGTTATTGTTATTAATATTATTAGATCAGAGGGACTGATATAATCATCCTCATATGTAAAGTATTTTCTCTCCAATAAAAAAAAGTCTATGAGGAAAACAGTGAAAAAGTAGAGGATAAGACAATGGTATGGCTGATAAAAATTACCTAGGAATCTTTTTATACGTTTATGCAGGATGGACACAGAAAAGCAACATGAGCAGGAACTGGTAATGTTCTATTTCTTGACCTAGATGGTATTTACAAAAGTAAGTTTATTTGGGATAATTTGTTTATACATTTATGATTTGTGCATTTTTCCATATATGTAATTTATGCTTTAACAAAACTGAAAGCGGTGATAGGTAAACAAATATTTACTTTATATATTGCATCGGCCATACCTCTATATAGAAAGAGAGTAGCAGAGTAAAAATATTTTACATCTTTTTTTATTTACAGTGAAGAGTTCACAATACTTCCATCACTTGAAAATTAAAAAGTTAAAGAACAATGGAATCACTGAAAATTTTTTAAAAATACCTAGATGCCTAGGCCTCATCCACCTCCCTCAGGATTCTGATTTAATTGGTCTGAGGTGGAACCCAGCAATCTGTAGTCTGAAAAACTTCTAATGTACAGGGTTATAATTCGCTCTTCTAAAAGTTAAACGGCTGGCTTTGGAAGCAAATTAACACATTTTTACAGTGAAGCAGTAAGGCTTAGGTTTCATTAGCAGTGAAATAATCTTTAAATCCTTCGAGACTTCCAATTGCAAGATCCAAGTGTGGTAAAGGCCTTTCTCCATCAGCCTGGGAGAGCTCCGGGACCGGCCTACACAGTGAATAGGCCTCCGGAATTCCAAGCCCACAGCGCTCTCATTTCCCTACCCTTGTCAGGAGTGCCATTGGCTGCTTCTGTGGGCTCCAGCTCACCCACCTCCTGAGAGCCATTTGGAAAGAGAAGAGGACTATGTAAGGACTCCAGTCACTGAAAAGTTAAGTACTGAGCTTTTCCTTGCTGTTGTTGACCCATGCTTGTTATGTAGATCACAGACCTACAGATGGACACTTTGGTCCTGGCTCTGTGCTGACCAGACCCTGCCCTGGGTCCCTAACCCTTGCTCACCACCCTCCTTCCCTCTAGGACCCATAGCCTTTCTGGAACTATAATCCTGGCTTTACCCTAGGGTCTTGGGTACAACCTCTGTCCTGCTTGTCATACGGAATTTGCTGATACTTTTACTATCTACTCTAACACCAGGCCTGGGCAGTCTCAAACAGGCCTGTCCTGCCACTGAAAAACTCTTAGCCTTATAATCTTTGAGATTTTGTCATAAAAGTGTTTAATTGATACCAAGAAGTTTGTAGTTCCTTAAATAGTGCTCTATAGTATGTCTTTAAAACTGTATGCAAAAGAAGTTAACAGTTATTGTATTATGTTTTATAGAAATGTGTGCACTTCTACCTGACACTTGAGTACTCACTCCTAAGGACATCTTTCCTGTTGACCTTTACCATCACATCTACTTGTGGAGGAGAAACACTTTAAAGGAAAACCACCTGTCTCCTCAAGGCTAGCCTCACAAATCTATGAAGTGACACTGAGTGCCACAGCTTAATCTCTCACGTGTGACCAAGAGAGCACCAGAGAGGCGTATTTCCAGGGGATGAAGTGCCTGGCATTTCATCACGTTGGGTATTCTCCCCTCTATCTACTATGATAGCTGGCAAAGAGTAGCATGAGCCCCCTGCCTTTTCCCAGTAAGGAAATCTCCTACAAGAATCCATTTAGCCCCATTTCCTCAGAAATGTTTGTTCCATTTATTTAAAGTTTTGTTTGTGTTATGATGGTTCTGCCACATGACCAGAAACTGAGCACTGTTTGCATAGACGGACCATAATACAGGAAACAGATAAAATGTATGATAGCCAATTTGACATATATTTCAAATAACAGATATTTATATGGTTGTTATTTCACTTCTGGATAATTAGATGATTTATGCATGTTATAATGATCAGCATTGTTTTATAGTTCTAAAACCCAAGCATGCACGGAGTCATCATGGAGCAAGAGAAGAATTTAGTAAGTCAGAGGCTACTTGAGTTCCTTTTAAAAGCCCTTGGATAATCTAGACAACTAAACTTCTCTGTTTCAGCCGTGGCTGCTAAAGGCCTCAATCCTCCGCCTCCCAGGCCACACACACAGAGGCACGAATGGACACGCTGGCCTGAGGTCATTCTTGGCTTAGGACAGACCAACCCAAGTGGTTTTTGGCCTGTGTAGATGAGTCAAGATCGGATAAAGCTGTCCTGATTCTTCAGCTCCTTGCAGGAAACTAGTGCAGAGCTACAAATTATCTCTTCTCTCCTCACCTAAGGCATAGTTTGTGTAAAAGAAATGAGCTGCAGAGTACATTTAAAGGAAAGAAGGCCCCCTGGCTACACTAGATTAAATTTGGCACATTAGAAATACATTGAGGTTATAAATAAATACCATAAAAGTGCAGGGGAAGAAGATAGAAATGTGGGGTCCTTTTTTTATTTATATCTAGCAGTTTTGAGACCCGGTTGTGTTCCCCACTGTGATTCAGACATGTGCAGCATATCTGGTAGATTGTCGGGGTGTGGAAGCTACACGTGCATGTTTTCTGAGTTGACAGAGAACCCGATTAGAAAAGACAGGATGTGTTAATATCATAGACCCTGCCCATCCACCTTTTCCCTTCTCCCCAGCGCTATAGATTCAAGCCCCAGGAAAGAACTACAGGCGAACACAGATGGAGATATTTTCATGAGTTATTCTGTGAGATATTGAGGCCCCGGCAGCTTACTTTGATTTCCAGGCAAGGCAATGTGACACAGGGTCAGGGGGCATCCCATTCTGTCCACCACTTCCAGGTGATGGCAATTTGGGGAGCACTGGTAGGTAGCACCCTGGGGTGGACCTCCTGGTTCCCATGGAAGGCAGCAGCAGCAACAGAGCAGCAATGGGCTTGGCAGTGAGCCACCCTTAAGTAGCTGCACCAGCAGAAAATATTCATGAGAGGCTGGTTTGTGGTAACCAGAACTGACGGGGTTACAAACACATGAGTGACAAGCCCTGGCATCACTGTGACAAAAGTGAATGCTTTTCTGAGAGGTGCCAGAGGTCTTCTTTTATGCAGGAAAGGGTAAGAGTCAGAGCAATCTGAGTCACTCCCACTAGAGAATGCTTGGTACCCATAGGCTGGTGAGACTTGGGGAAATGGAGGTTGTACGGTCACTTCATATATGGATGACCCACTAAATGCCATTCATTAAAGCTGGGTTCTGTGGGTTGTATGTAGTGTCTAAGGCACTGCCTGGCTCAGGAATGTCTCAATAAATATTCCGTGAATGAATGAAGGAATGAATGAAAGTATTAAGATGATAAAGCACGATCACTAGACTAGTGGTTCTCAAAGTGTGGCGGTGGCCCAGCAGCATCAGTTTGACCTGGGAATTTGTGACAAATGCAGATCTTTGAATCCCATCCCAGACCTAGTGAATCAGAAACTCTGGAGGAGAGGCTTTGTAATCTATGTTGTAACAGTCCCTCCAGGTAATCTGATGCTAACTTTGAGAACCATGGTCCTAGTTGAGAAACCCAAAAAAGAATGGGGCAGGCCAGGAAGAAGATAGGAAAGTGCCAAAAGAGGAAAGATAGAATAAAGTAAAAAGCTGTAAGAAGATTCAAAACAAAATTTGCAATTTACATAAAGTTGTTTTGGACCTTTTCCTTCTTTATGAGAGTTCCATTTCTTCCTGTACATTTCATCCATTGGATTGGGAAAGACAAACTATGTTAATGTCACATACTGTGCCCAGCCAGCCGCCCTCACCTACTCAGATTCTAATCCCTTTCTCACTGCAAGATCATGGCATGTAGACAGTGGACAAAGGAGAAATTGGAGAGACTACAATTCACAGCCCATAGAATGAAAGCCAGGAGCACTGGGGGCTGAGCGTGGCGGGATTAAAGAAAATTGCAGAAAGAAATCAAATCCCCTACAGGCCACCACCCGTTCTGCAGCCATAAAGATGCCCTGTATAGTAAAATCACAGTTTTCCAAAAGGCTGTCATCAGGTTCCCATGAGCACATATGTGTAGCATAGCCCAAAATTATAAGCCAAAAGGCTTTGGTGAGAAGCCTGGAAGGGGTTCTGAAATTAAAACGATGAACACATACAAAGCCATATAACACACAGAAGAAAATTAAATATTTTGTAAGAATGAACATGTTGTTTCTCTAAATATAACACACCCAATTACTTTCCCACAGGAAATCACCAACGCTTTGGTTAAGAATGCACATTATTTTGCAGTTCTTTGGGGAGCAAAGACAACCTTGACTGAGGTAATCACCACCTCAAAGGCAATGCTCTTTGGTTTTTTTTTTTCCCTCTCCAAAGCCCCAGTGCATGGTTGTATATATCCTAGTTGTAAGTCCTTCTAATTCTTCTATGTGAGCTGCCACCACAGCATGGCAACTGATAGACTGTTGGTTCTGCAACTGGGAAGCCAACCCAGGCTGCCAAAGCAGTAAGGGTCAAACTTTAACCACTAGACCATCAGGGCTGGCTCACAACACTCCTTGTTTTATAGTTGCACTAATTAGTTATGGTAGAAAAATAGCCAGACGATATAGTTTATGACAATAAATCTCCATTTAATTCAGTTGAGTTGAGGAATTTGTAAACAAAATATTCTCATCTCAGCTGGGTGCTTTTAGCATTGCTATGGACTGAATGTTTGTGTCCTCACAAAATTCATCTGTTGAAACTTATCACCACTGTGATGGTATTTGGAGATGGGGCCTTTGGGCAGTAATTAGATCACAAAGGTGGAGCACTCCTGATGGAATTAGTGCCCTTGTAAGAAGAGACAAAAGAGAGCTTGTTTCACCTCTCTCTCTCTCTTTCCCTCTGCTATGCGAGGACACAGCAAGAAGACAGCCATCTACAAATCAGGGAGAGGGCTCTCAACAGAACCCAACCACGCTGGCACTCTGATTTCAGACTTCTCAGCTCCAGAACTGTGAGAAATAAATCTTTGTTGTTTAAGCCACTCAGTCTATGGTAGTTTGTTATAGCAACCCAAACTAAGACACGTGTTTAATTTTGCTCAATTTCCTCATCTGAAAAACTGGGATTATTATATCCAGTTTACAGGATTGTTCTAAGAATTAAATTATGTGTTACATAAAACATTCAGCACAGTGCTTGACACACAGTAAGAGGTAATGGCTCATTCAGTTGCTCTCTATTTCTTGCAAAGATGATGCGAATGACTAAGCATCCTCTAAAGAGACCATAAGAAAACACTCATGGATAAAGCATTGATCAATACATAGTTTCAGGTTCAAGAAATAATCATCAGTCTTACTAAATTACTAATACAGCCAATTATCCAGAATTTGCTTCACTATCTCCTTCTATGCTTGACAAAGGACTTGGACAATCAGGAATATATTCTACATGCTACTTTGGATTCAAATCTTTGGTCAGTTTTGCCTTTGATATTTAGAACTAGTCTATGGTAACCACTGTGAGGCTCTAGTAAGGTGGGGCCTTAGCAATGTAATTGAAATCAGGGGGCTTGTCATCCAAGATATTAAGTATAGATCACACATGGAAGAATTTCCCCTCTGGTGATTTGACACTTTCCAGCTGATTAGACACATTTCCCGTATGCCTTTGGTGATATTACCAGAACAACAATGACTGACGATAATAGTAGGATATTAGTTTAATATTAGTTTTACTATTCTTATTAATAGCACCTCATAGGGTTGGTGTGAGGATTAGATGAATTAATAAATAAAGGCCTTTACCATATAGAGAAAAATTAACTTTGTTGTTACCAGGACACTGTGGTGGGGAAAAATAGAACTTAGAAATATTCACTGATTATGGCCAAAAAGAGATTCAGAGTTAATCATGCCTGTTTACATATTGTTCAGGAGTGAGGTCACCTAATTATTGGATCATTTTAGATAGCCAATTCTCCTGGCAGGTATCTCCCTAATATGGAGAAACTTGTAATAATTTCTCAGAGACTGAGGTATCTGTTCCGTATCTTTAGACTCTTGTATTAGTCTTCTTATTTTTTCATTTAAAATATCTTTGGAGCAATGACTACGTGACAGGCACTGTCAAGTCACTTTGGGTATAGCAGTGAAAAGGATATACAATGGTCTAGCAGTGAAGGAGCATATATGAGCCTACCTTCTAGATTGGACCCCTTCTAAAACTTTCTCTATCAGTTCTCCACATTCTTTCCCATCTACCACAACTTAGAACCTGCCCAAACCTCACAGACATGTCTACTTTCAGATCTCAGTTCTTCCCATTCTATCTGGTCTCAATTCGTACACACAGCCTCAAATAGGAAAATTCTAATCAGGCCAAATTTATCATCTGCCAAATGACAGTCCTAGACTGGTTTGATTAATTTTATAGATTATTCATTTCAGTTTGATAAATAATCCAACTGCCAATCTGTCATAAATCTCAAACCAAACGAAAGCTTATTTTCACTTACTCATTTATTGGATCCTGGGGAAAAAAAAGACACTTTAATTTTCCTTAAGAAAAAAAATCCTTAAAGTTAGTTGAATTTCAGCTAACAGGTGAATAACTCTCCCTCTAAAATACATAAATTTTTTAAACAAATGAAAAAAAGTTTAAAAGATGGGAATGTAATTTCTGCTGCTAAATCTTTATATGTCTGAGAAGCTCAGCTAATCTAAGTTCATCACTAACATTTTTATTACTTTTTAAGTTTTCCACAGAGAGCACAATTCGAGATTAAAACATATAATTTCTACTTGAGGCTATGTCAGGATAGATACTCTCCAAGGCCTTCTTACTTTAGACCGAGATAAAGAAGGAAAAACATAGATCCACTGCTTATAAGCTCTCTAAAAAGGAAAGATTCCCAAATTTAAATTTTCCACAAATGGATATCAGTTTATATGAGGTGAATATGAGAAATCACCAAGCATACAAAGAAAAAAAAAATGGGAGACAGAGAAATTTTAGAATGATCAGAATCCAAATATAAACTTAGTAGATATAAATAATGTTTAAAGGAAGATGAAGCAAGCATGCAACAAGAAAGGATTCAAAATGATTGAGTACATATTTGAAAGTAATTTTAAAATAACATTTAGAAATGATCAAAGAAATTGTTGAAATTAAAATTCATTGGATAAATTTTTGGCCCTGGACAAACAGGCTAGCTGATATGGAACTAAATCTTCTACCAAAAATAACTTTAAAAGTTGGGAAAACATAAGCAATCCTTTGAAGGCGTTGGAGAGCCAACACCAGCAATACTGAGCAGTTAGAATTCTTAGAAAAGGGAAGCACACAAGGTACACTGCACATTCACCTCAGAATTCTCCTGTGGGCATTTTTCAAACTGTGGCAAGGGTGAAAAGAGCCCAAGAAGAGAGCAGCCGTCTCACAGGTCTGAGACAGATACTGAGTTCAGGAATGCCAAAGGAGCTGGGGCGTGAGGAGTGAAATATTGGAGAGAAGGGAACCTCAGAGAAAGTGCCCAAAAATATGCATACAACTTTCCCTCAAATTGCTGGTCAGCTTTTGAGCTGTGAACATGCAAGGCAAGCCTGAAGAAATGCAGTGAAGAGCATCAGTCATGGGTGTCCAAGATAATGTCCCATAGTCGGTGGGGTCCTCCAGGAGTTGTTAAGTTGAGGTCAGCAAAATGTAGAAAAGGTGCTGTTAGGCCTCTTCCACCCCACCCACAGCCCAGAAACACCACCGGACTTTAAAGCGTGATCTTCAGCTGGGCCAACCCAGTTACTACCGTGCAACTGGGGCTGCTGCTTTCACCCCCAGCCCAAAGGGTCAGTGTAAGTGAAGGGCACTGGAGCTTAAGTTTCTTTAGGTTCATGATACATCCACCTCTGCACAGAGCCTGGGTGAAGAGAGGCACATTTGGCAGTAGCCAGCAATCCTAGAGAGTTGGACCACCAGGAGCTATGCTAACAGAAAAGCTGAATTCTCTGCCTCACAATATGGAAGCTTTTTAATCTTTCCTGCACTCTATTCTCCAAGACTAAGTTAGTTGTAACCTCTTCTTTCTCCCTCTGATTTAGTCTTCCTCTGTACATCCAATAATTCCCTCTGCTTATTTCCATTATTTCACTTATTCCATGGTGTTGTCATTTGTAATTAGTTGGATGCTTTTTTTTGGTTTTAGGCAACAGAAAACCTGAAAACCCAACTCAAGCTTCCACAAAAAGCCATTTTATTGGCTAGGGTCACTCAAACATCCAGAGGTAGAGTAGACCTCAGTGCGCTTCAGTCATGTCCAGCTATGTTTCTTTGTGATTCTCTTAGCGGTACCCTGTCCAATGGCTGACTTTCCTCCTGACCTCAACGTGTCTTCCTAAAGCAATGGACCCTACATGATCACTCTTTCATGTCTAGGTAAAAAAGATTATAAGCATTTTGCAATCACCAAACAAGATTTCTGAGCTTTGTGCAGAAGACAATCACTATAGCTAAAAGAATGTCATATAGGTTTACACCTTGGTTGCATGCTCGTTGCTGGACCAATAAATGTAGTAAATGATTTTGAATTGTCCCTTAGCTGGATGTGATATCAACCCCACAAAAATCCTTAATTTCCTGGCTTTTACACAGTGGAAACAGTTAGGATGGTGTTGGGTAGACAAACAAAACATCCATTATAAGCATGGTAGATTTTTTTCTATTGCTCCCATAAAACCATGACAGCCTGGAAGAGAGAGACAGTACTGACCTATCTCTGTATCTTCAGGTCTTACCTCATGGCTGGCATATAATCAGTATTCGAGAGTCACATGAATGAATGAACAAATAAAATAATAATTGATTCTCCTCAGAAATATATTTGTCACCAACCACTCCTATAATTCTTAAAGCATCTTGTAAGTGTAATAATATTTACACAATACCTTATTGTTCAATCCCACCCTGCATGGTTATAATTTTTACCGATTTCTTCCTGGGTTGTTCACTTGATTTCAACACATTACGGATTATTTTTAGAGCTGCTATTAACACAGACTTCAATTGCTGTCCTGTTTTCCCCTTGAGCAGTGAAGCAGTTGCCATGGAAACAGAATCCAATACCTCTCTCTAGAGCCTCACATCAATGCAATTTGATGAGAGGGACTAACATACTACCTCCTACTTCTATTTTATAAGTCTGAGTATCTATTACCTCAAAAAGATGATATTCAATACTGGGGAAAGGCATACTTGATGAAGTATGGGTTTGACAGCTTGTCCAAGAAGATATATCAGAGCTCTCATCTGGAAATAATGCCTAATCAGAGTTGGAGAAAGGTTTTAATGCTTGAATTGACTAAAAATTCCAAATAACAAGGTAGATTTCATTTAAAGGTGGAAAGAAGGATCATTTTAATTGGCACCGCTCATTCAGTATAAAGTCAGCCTCATAACCTTTCTCAGAGAACCGTGTATGCTGATTATGTGGGGGATGATGCTTCCCCTCAACTCCACCTACACAAAAAGTGAGATTTGAAGTCTAATCCAGATAGACTGACAGACAGAGGGTGGTGTAAATTCCCAAGCATCTCTGGGCGAGGCGGCTCCCCAGGGCAATTCTCTGGAAAAAGTTGTAGTTCTAAGCTTTAGCTTCTCTACTTTCAACAGCCGGGGGGAAGGGTACACTATGTGAGGAACTCTGTGGGGAACCAGTAGCATCAACCACATATGAGTAGAAATGACTCATCACCAGGTCCTAAACTCTCAGCTGGGACAAATTTTCATAGTATAAGACTAAGTTTTGACCTTGTCAGCACTCCAGAATCTTTTATTTGCTGGCTGGGAGTGCTATGATGGAATTTTCTATCCCATTGTCAGATGTTTGCACAAAGTCTATCTCTGTGGGTAACCTGGCTTAATCCAAGGATATGGTCTGGAATAAGCCAGGATGGGGTAGATGTAGGTGACAAAGGGGCAGTGAGGGAAAGATTACAATACTAGAATCAACTGTGT